GGGCTATTTATCAGCGATCCAGTGAGCACTGGGTCCAGTCTGCACAGGTGGCAGAAATGATTCTCTCGGCCTCAGTAGGAGACTGCCTGCCGAAGCTTTTCCCTGTCCCCTGGTGTTTGTGGGGGGTGAGAGGCCCACAGTGCTGAGTAAAATGGCAGCCACAGCGTTCCTCTTTCCCCCTGGGACACACAATACCTAAAGCGGAGTGTCCCGGTCCTCATTCATTCAGGAGACTCCTCTCAAAGCCTCAGCTTGCAGCACGCACAGGATGGCCGTGACCTGACAGGGGGAGCCGACCTTGTTGGTGGGGCTGCCCACACCTTTCCGGTCACCTCTGGGATAGTAGCTGTCACGATGGGGCAGATGAGAAGGGCTGCTCGTCTTCTTTACCGCTTGGTGACGAAATGCACGGTTGTGCAGATGCGCTCGTAGCCACGCCCATCACTAGGGCTTATTTCGGGTAGGGCTCTATTGCGGAAATGCTTAGAAATCCTGCTAGGGCTTATTTAATGGTAGGTCTTATTTTCGGGGAAACACGGTGCCTTCCAAACTCATCCCTATAACCCACCAGTCTCAGCCAGCGCCTTCTGTTCCTGCCACACTGGCGTGCCCCTTTGTAGGACAGTCCTAACTAGCCTTCCCTGGCAGCCCCCTCCAGGCAGCCTTCCAAAGCGCTGCCCAGCCCCCAAGGCTAGATCAAGGCCCAGCCTCTCTGGGAGTCTGTGCTGATCACCCACACCCTTAGCACTTCCTTCCAAGTTCAGGACGCTGACACACCTGTGTGACACCTGTGTCACTTGCTGACACCCGTGTCAGCAGCAGGCTGACACACCTGTGCAGCCTTATCTCAGCGCTTGAGGCTCCGACCCAGGTGACCAAGTGGCAACGAGCGGGATGCCCTACAGAGGTGGAAGTCTTGAAGGGGATGGCAACGTGCTCTGAGCCAGGTTCCTTCCAAATCCTCCCCTGTCCCTCCAGGTGCTCTCCTTAGGTCTGTTCTCTTCCTCCCTCGGGGCCAAAGCAAGGGTCTGAGTCACCAAACGGACAGGCGCACTGGCAGGGCTGAGCAGGGAGTGCTCAGAGCACCCCTGGCAGAAAGAGTCAAGGCCGCCTCATCCATCCATGAGTCAAAAGTGGAATTCCAGGCCTTGGGATATTAGCCTCCGGCTTGGTGACACCAGAGGAGGAGCCACTCTCCACCCAAGAGTGCTCCCTGAAGGGGCTGGCCAGGGCCCTCCCTTTACCAATGGACAAAATCAAGATAACTTGGCAGCTCTGGGCAGTTCCTTCCTTGAAGAGAAACTTTCACCATCACAAGGGACAGACCGAGACAATCACGATGATCTTTGTCCCTTGTAACCCAGACCCAGCTTGGGACCCAGAGACCCAGGGCTCATTTCTGCTCCAGGAAGGAAGGTAGGTGCCTTTTCCCTTCCTGCCTGTCCCTTGGAAGAGCATCTCCCCCAGGTCTGAGGCGGGATGACTTACATGTCACGTGTACCAACCAGACGGAGTACACTTCGCAGAAGGAGACATGGGCATCCAGAGGCGAGAGTGTGCTACAGGAGTATGTGACCTGCCTCCTCTCCCAAATCCAGCCCCCCACCATACAGCCTAGAGAGCTCTGACCCGAGGTCTACCCCAGGAAGACCCAGGCTGTCTCCCACGCTCGGTGGGGTCCTTACCTCCACCCAGATCAGTCAAGCTCTGATCCGCAGGAGATGGCTGTACCTGCTGCTTTCTCCGGGAGGAAACAAGGGCGTCCAAGGGCCGAAGGCCCTGTGGACTCACATCCTGCCACCTGGGACCAGCCGTTTGGCCGAAGGGGAGTGCAGGGGAAGGCTCCAGCCTTCAGACCTGGGTTCCAATTTCAGCACCTGTAGTGGACTAAGTCCTGCTACCTGGGGGTTCCCCCTGTTGCTGCCATTCCCTCCTCTGTTAATGAGGGTGACATTAATACCTTCCGAAAGGGCATCAACAATAGACTGGATTAGCCTAACGAGGCAATATCCCATGGCTGGCCAAGATGCAGGGCTCGGAGCTGGCCTGCCGGGGTCCACGTCTCACTCCTCCACTGCGTGGCTGCGTAACCTGGGGCAATTTAATTTAGCGCCTTGGTCTGCTCGACCCTCCCTCCTTTCCACCTAAAAGCGAGATCACAGAGTGCCGTGAAGATTAAAGGAGAAAGCCACGACGCCACTTGGAATGGAGTCTGGCACGTCCTAAGCACCTCGCATGAACGCCAGCCGTTCTGCTTCGTGCCAGATGAGAAACTGGCACACACGGCCAGGCTGGATTGTGGTTTTCCCTCAGCTCACTCCTCCAGACTCAGCCAGTTCCCACCCGGCCTCCTGTTAAGTCTCTGCCTTCAACCCTTCCTCTCACGTCTCAAGTTTCCCAGCCCAAAGTGCCAAACACTCCAAGGTTCCCCTCGTGATCTCCAACCATAATATCTGATTATCTTCTTCACACTCAAGTGGTAAAGTGACTCACGGCCATTTATTTGATACCGCAGGAGCTCGGCACCACTCCAACCAAAGAGCAGGGGTGCAAGGCAGGACCTCAGGCCACAGGCCCGGCCGGACACGGAGAGCTTGGGAGGAGGCTCTCCCAGAACCCTTTGTGATGACCTTTTCTGCCAGCCTGGAATCCACCAGCAGTGTGGCCAAGGCGACTGGGTTCAAGACCCAGCTCTGCTCCGATTGCCGTGTGACCTCCAACAACTCACATGACCTATCTGGACCTCAGCTTGCTTTCATCTGCCTAAATGGGACAATAAGCTTTGTTCCCACCTACTCACGCCGCGGAATGAAATGGCATGTGATGAATTCAGCATTTGTCCTCTCTATGACGTGTGGGTGATTTTCGTGTGCGTGTCTGCTGCAACAGGGACAGGCCAGTCTTTCCGGACTTTGTGTAGGCCAGTGCATACGCAGGTGCTTAGTGAACGGGCGAGCTGAGTCCTGCCTCGGAAC